ACTGACTCTAGATAGGGCCTTTTGAACTTTTGAGTTTTGCGGCTACCATAGTTTCTCCTACCTACTTGGTTGAGGTGAGAGGTTTCAGTTGGTTAATTTTGACATAAAAAGGATATGAGGGTGATGTGTCCACAGGGTGTCACTGATCCACCCAAAGTCATTATCCTGCTCTTTCAGCCTGTCATATGCGTACTGCAGCAGCCTTGCATCTTCTTCATCCAGGCCCTCCTTCCAGATCCTGTGAAGTATCCTCCTCTCTTCACAGCGTGAACGCCACCTGTGAGGATGGCTGTTAGAGGAGAGAGAACCGGTGATTCTTTTAAGTGATCTCTGCCGATGATGGATTCTCCATCTCCTCTTTAGCCTCCTCCACCGTCTTCTCCTCAATAAGGATTTCTCTGTCTCTCTCCTGTTCTCCTCACCCAGAAGCCCAGGCATATTCTCCAGTCCCTGCAGGGGCTTCATTCTCACCCCTGAACTGATCCACATGCCCCTCCCATCAGCGGAGTCGGATGAAGACTCGGAGACGCTGCATGGAGAGGAGACAGGAGAACCTCTGAGAGAATCACACAACAGGGGCCGTGAGGTTGTCACCGTTTGCGTGTTCCTCCTGTGGACTATGGCTCTTCGGGGTAGGATGATGTCTCTTCCAGGAGTCTTTGGGGCTGTGACATATGGATTGATAGACAGGCATGGGACAGGAGGCGGGCTGCTAAGAGTCTGGCCCATCATTATGCTACCCTCTGACTCTCTGCCAGGTGTTGCTGGAACTCTCACAGAGCTGTACTGAGTCCATCCAATTCGATCCTCTCTCCCAGGAGTTTTGGGCATATCCTGGTATGATGAGTATGAGACCGGGGGACCAGAGGGAGCTAGAACGAGCTCAGTGCTTGTTGGAGAGAGGAAGAGGACTTCTTCAGCAGAGTCCTCACTTTCCAGTTCTGCAACTATCCCCTTGCCTGGTGTTCGTGGTCGTTCCACCTCCTCCACAGCTGGGGATGTTGGTTTGCTTCTGAGTGGTAGGTCAGGGTCGCTGTCCACCAAGCAGCCAGTAGGAGTGAGAGGCCTCAGGGTTTCTATGTTCTCTGGAGACTGCACCCTCCATTCAGGGCTCTCCATCTCTATGTCAAGGTATGGCTCCACTGCTGCACAGATAAGTAACAAGACAGTATTATAAAATCATATTTTCACCATTCTATTAATACTTTTATTACGTTGTTCACACAAATCACATCCTTCTTAGGCATGTTAGCATGGCTCTAGGGATAGTAATATCTGGGCTGGTCCAATTGTCCATTAGTGATTGCCATAAATTATTTACAGAAATACATTTTCATCAGAACCCCGGAGGACGAATTTAGAGTAAAATATCACTATTCAATGGATGGTCATGAAATTTGCAACAGATATTCAAGATCCTTAGGGGATAATTTCTAATGACTTTTATGATCCCCTGACTTTTCCTCTCACACCACTGGTGGGTCAGTGTTTTGTCGCAGAGTATGAATTGTAACAACTCTGATAGCTTTTCATCTAGTGCCAACATCCTCTTGTCCAATACTTAAAAAATACCTGCAAAACTAATTTAGTTTCAGCCTCAGCCATACTTTGTGTTGTTGTGCTAATGCTGAACATGCTAAACTAAGATGATGAACATAATAACCATTGACATGCTAGCATTATATTTGTGAGCATGTCAGCATGCTGATTTTAGAATTTAGCTCAAAGCAATATTGTGCCTATGTATAGCCCCACAGAGCTGCTAGCATGGCTGTGGACTGTGGATGATTATCATTAAACATGTAGGCTGAGTATAACTTCATTATACCTAAATCAAACAATATCTGTAAATGCTTTTATTGTTGATTTTTTTCTGATTAAGGGACAGACAATTTGACATCTTAGGGGAAAGGTTTTATGCTGACTTTTTATTTATTTTTATTTTGATCTGATATCAATCATTATTTGAACTGCTATACAACATATAGTAGACATATAACCTGGAATTCCTATAGGTGACAGGAGCTGCAGATGGTTCTGGGGTTCGCTGGTCTGGAGCTCCATCAGAGGATCCAAGTCACAGGAGTCTTGTTGACTGGATGTGTACTGGTTCTCCTCGGTTTCCTCCCTATGAAATGGAGCTGACCAGTCCTGCAGATCCAGCTCCAGCTGAGCACCAGGGGTTAGTGGGGCCGAGGGGGTGACTGGGGGCTCGAGCTCCATCGACTCTTCATCTGACGATATGACTATACACTCGCCACTCCCGTTGTCCTCACCGTCCTCCTCGCCATCCTCCTCCATGTCCTCATCTTCAGGACTGAGGTCAGAGTAGGACGATTCCTCAAAGCTCTCTGAGGAGAACGAGTCAGAGGAGTCGAAGTCTGATGAATACTCACTTTCCTCTGAGGAGCTGCTCTCTGAAAAACTCTCTATAATTGAAGAATAAAACAAATATATTTTACTTATAGGCATGTAATTATCCATTAGTGTTCAGTGTTGCAGCTGTGTGATGTTTTAACGTACCGCTATCTAAGCTCTGTGCTCCATCACTACTTTGGATGATGACAGCATCGTCATCCTCTGTGTGTTTTTGTGGCAACTCCTTTACTTCCTCCACATGGTCATCACCGTCATCATGGTCAACTCTGGCACACTGATTAGAGCATCAGTTACATCATGCAGTATTAAGAATTGAATATTTTCAACATATAGTTTGTCAAACTGGTATTAAAACTGTGTTTTTTATATTATATATATATATATTATTACATAGTTTTCTATTAAAAACTGAAAAAAAGTAGTTGCACAGTGGTTGTATTTACCAGGATTTGAGGCTCTTCGTCAACTGGTACAAAAACCTCCACTTTGTCTGATATTGTTTCTTCATCTTTAAGCGTATTATCTTCTTCTTTCCTGTCTTCATCATCATCATTATCATCACTCTCAAGTTCATGTGGTCTTGCATGTCTGCGTTTGGCTCTAAATGTGTCATCACCCTGTTTCACATCTAAAACCACATGGAACGAGAACAACACAGTTGATCACGCTACAGTCTAGCACGGACAGTTAAGTTCATATATAGGAAATTAAGATTAATTGCATTAAATAGCACTGACCGGCACTATCATGAGCAGAGCAAAACACATTTTCTATCTCTTCTGATGTAGCAGGATCATCGGCTCTTTTTCTTTTAACCTGCACAACAATAAGTTACATTAAATTAATCAGTCAGGGGTCAAATGCTGTTGTGTTTCATATAACAGTAAGCAGAATAGTTTACCTTAAAGGACGGCAGTGGAGGTTTTTTGCCCTGAGCACCAATGTGACTGAGGGGATTTATTAGTTTGCTCCTCTCTTCCACATTTGCCGATCCACTCTTCAGAGGAGAAACTTGTATCTTGTGAAAAAAACAACAATAATAATAAACCTACCGCCTCAAAAGTGCTTTTGTGTGATTTCATTTAACCTTTTTATGAAATGATAAAGGATGTAAAGAACTCACCTTTGTTTTCTTCTCTTGACAGTCCCACCAGTCCTCAAAAGCCTTGAAAGCGATCCCTTCAATCATTCTACGTGTAATGTCCTTCTTAACTATTGACTTCAGTTCATCCACGATGACTTCTAAAACCTTTTCTATCGTGATTTTGTGAGGGTTTTCTTTCACAAGCTGGTAGTCTGGTGGTGGCACAAAGGGGTTAAATGTAGGAAAAGGTGGAGCGGGCCAGGGGGGTCGAAGGAACGGTAACGGTGCACTTGGAGGATTCCCCTTAACCAAAGGACCTGCAGGTGGCATGGGTAGGGGATACGTGTGTGTAGGAGGTGGAACCATCAAATGTGGAGGGGGTCCAAGAAAAGGTGGTGGGGGAGGAACCGAACGAGGAGGTGGAATAGGGGGAGGAGGAATAGAGATGGCAGTGTGATGGCCCGGAGGTGGGATCCAGCCTGGAGGTGGGATGGGGATGGTGCCGTTTGGTAGGCGAGGTGGGACAGGTGGAATAGATGGGTGAAAGTGAGGAATAGGGAAAGGGAAACGGGTGACGGATGGATGGGGGCATCCAGGTCTGATGGCAGGAGGAGCTGTGGAGGTAAGGAGTTGAGTAGTGCTACTCAGAGAAGAAAAGGACGGAGGCTGAGGAAGAGTAGAGATCTCTTTTGTGGGTGTCAAAGCTCTGTTATTTGAGAGCTCCTTATCCTCATTTGCTTCATGATGCTCCTGAGTAAGACAGAAAAAATTATGAATTATTGATTTGCAGCACAACACAAATACCTTTACAACAAAAAAACTTATTTAATGGACATCAGGATGTATGCAGAGATTGGGATGGGAAACGAGAACTGGTTCCAGTTGAGAAACAGTTCCAAATTGTCCGGGTCTGTTGGGATCGTACGGAGTTTATCAATTCCTGTTAGCGATACCAGTGTGTCGTGCATCACAAAACAATGTTGTCAAACTGCTGGAGACGTAAGGAGGAGTCATGGTCCAAAGCGTGGCTTCATCTCACCAAGAAAGACAACAATGCTGGTTGTACTGTCTCTATAATGATCATTTCAACTAAGGGTGGAAACACCATTAACTGAAACCTCTTTCTACGCAGAATGGCCATGTGTTCGATACTCTAGCACAAGGGCCACTGCTTCCCAACCAAGCAGCACGTCTGTTACAGAGTGGAAATATCCTCTGTTATAATAACATTAGTGCCACGCAGGCAGGCGTAGCAGGTTCTTACACACAAAAAATTGGTAAGGGATGAATAAGGCAAGTTAATTGATAATGGCATTGGTATCAATAAAGATCTAGAGACATTACCTTGGATAATGACTGGAACCTTTCTGCGTCTTTTTCTTCATTTATGTAAATCCCCCTTTCAAAATATGTGAAATTAGACGAAGCGGGAGATTGGGAGTTTCTCGTCAGAAACGAAACAGCTCGAGTAGTCTCATCCTCCTCATTTTCAACGGGCCATGTCGGACAGACGTCCACCGGATCATTATAGGAGTGCTGGTGGCTCGGAGTGTGAACATGGGAGTCATCTGAGAGAGGGGAGGTATTAGCTGAGCAAGGGGAAGTCGGGCTGTCCTGAGAATGCACATCCAAAGTCGTTCTATCAAAGAACGAGGGATCAGCACTCTGGCTGTTTATCAGCAGGCTTTCAATGCGGGAGTCCAAACTCTCCACCTCTGGCTGGGGGCTGCTAGCGGAACAGTTACCAGCAGATGGAGATAAGCTTGCATGTTCGTCAGGTGGGGAGGATGCTGCATCCTGCCGGTCAGCTGTGAAATTAATGCTCAGGATGCTGAATGAGTTCCGATGTAAAGCCTTGGAAGTAGCAGTGACCACCTCCCTGGACTCCTGACAGGGGGAGGCGAGGTTAAGAGCAGGTTCGGTATTATTGGGAGTAGAAGATTGTGCATTGTGACCCCACACTGCAAGCTGCTGGCTGCCTGTTTGGGTAGAGAGAGGGTGGGGTGGCTGTGGTTGGCAATGCTTCAAAATCAAGCTGACATCTGAGACTTCGCCAGATCCCCTGTGATACCTCGCGGGTTTACGATGGCAGAGCTCTCGTCTTAAATGTTTGTGAACACTATAAGTGGAGGGCTCCCCCTGGAGGACCGGAGTTGCCTGAAGACTGGAGTAGCAGGAGTCCTGGGAGAGAGGAGTTGCGGAGAAGCAAGGAGTGCGAGGGGTTCCCTGAGAACGTGGTGTAAGCCCAAAGCTGCAAGGTGTATCCTGCCAAATACTGGAGTAGGCTGTGTCCAGAGAGAGGGGTGTGGCAATGCTGGTGGGGCTGGAGAGACTCCCCTGTTGCTGTGTGGCAGCGCTGCCCTGAAAGAGACAGATCGTACAGAGAAAACAAGTAAGAAATAAAAACATAGCAATTTATTAGCTGGTTTTTAAATGTTGAATTACTTAAATGTTCAGACTACTACAAGCTGCTTTTAAATGTTTACCAGCAAACTGTCGATTAAGCTCTGAAGAGCTCGTTCATTGCTGCCAACTGGCAACGTCCAAGGAGTATAAAGGCCATGTAGGAGGAGCTGGAGATATCGCGCCCTGTTTTCACCTGAGGAACGAAGCATGTTACAGTTAACAAATTCAACAAGATTAACAATTATAATATTTATAAGCATTTATTCTTTACAATCAGTGTTACCTTTGGGATCAATTTCCACATGAATAATATTTCCCATCACTGAGGTCTGATGGAGGTTTTGAACCACGTCCTTTGCGGCCCTCACAGTGTCGAAGACAACCTTTGCGAGCCCCAAATGCTTTTTGTTCTTAGGATTGTAAAATATTTCCACTTCTTCAAGGTTCCCATATTTTCTGCACATATTAGTCAAGAACACCTCCTTTACATTGTCATTCAACCGGGAGAATGTCACTTCTTTGGGAGGAACAGGGCCGACATACCACTCATCAACCTGAAAGCACATGGGTAAACAACAACAACTGTTATTATTATTACCAGCATTATTAGTATTGTTATTATGATTATAAATAACACTGGTGGAATGTAATTAAGTATATTTACTCAGATGCTATAATTAAGTACAATTTTGGGTTACTTGCACTTAATTTGAGTCTCTTATTTCATGCTTTATACTTAGTGGGAAATATTGTACTTTAACGGCACTACATTCATTTGAAAACTGTAGTTACTACTTATATTATCTATTAAGATTTTTTACAAAAAACATATGAAGAGCCAATAAAACATAATGCACAGTTATAATAAATACCCAAAAGTATATAAAATTAACTGATTGATTAGTCGATAGATATATTCAAATTAAATTAAAATTATATTTCTGCTTTTCTTTTTTTTTGGTGTATTTTCTTGTCTTTAATTGCAGTAAACTAAATAATTTTGAGGTTTGACTATCAGTCGGAGAAAATAAGCAATGTGAAGGCGTCATTTTTCCTAAGTTATTAAACTAAACAACTATTGATTAATCAAGTAAAGGTGAATACAAAATTGCCCTTAGATGCTGCCCTATATAAAATGATTATGCATGATTAATAGTAATATTTACATACATAGGGCCCTTGTACTTGTATTTACAGTGTGGTATTGGTACTTTTACTTCAGTAAAGCCTCTGGGTGCTTCCTCCACCACTGATAAAGATTACCTTAAATTTAGCAACCAGAAGGTCAGTCTCGTTGCATTTGCTCCACAGGCGGCAGACGCGCGGATCTCTGACTGCATCCACAGGAAACAGACCTAAGTCCTCCACCTGTGCAGGTAAACAACACCCATCATTGTCATGGAAAATATACATGAGCGTTTGGCGCTATAATATGGCGGGGGGCTGTGTTTTCAGCCAGTTATGCATAAAGGACAGCCAATAAACAGATGTTTAAAAATACTCACGGGTATGTTAAAACATTGTCCATCATAACGGTACACTTTGTACAGTCCTTTTGTCAATGCAGGGTCAATAATCAACTTGCAACTTCTCCAGTGCTGAGGCGGTGTCTCTCTCTCAGTAGCTTGTTTTTCGCTTTCCATTACATTCGTCAAAACCTGGAGATAAAACCAAATAAACATCGTTTAACCACGGCAAAAAACAGAGCAGTTAGCGAGCTTCCATTGGAGGTTAACACGCCCCGACAGGTGATGAAGAGCATCACCTGTAGCCTCTTCTACAAGATAACAGGTTGTCTGATGAAACATTATCCAGGTAGTTCCGTTTAAATCCAACCAAAACGTGTTCTCCTCCCTTACCTGTACCAAAGTTTGATCCTTTGATGGAGCAACATTGTGGAAAAGCGGTTGTTATTTTCGGTGCTTTCACAGTTCGTCGCACACAGGTTGGAGAATGGATCCATCCGCTGGCACACACACAGAGAGAGAGAGAGACGGAATATAGATCCGTCTGTGAGGCGGAAGAATACACAAGGTTTATGGAAGGTGGGTTAACAGGTGACAGGTGTGCAATGTCTATCCACCTTCAGGAGCTTCTATAAGTACTTGTGATAGAAAATAATGCACATGTATATAATTATTTACAGGTATGTTCAGTGACGCTATGTATAAATGTTTTATTAGCCATTTTTATTTTTTATATAACATATATATACATGTATATTCTAAGTATTATTTCTATTCTTTGTGTGAGCACCTTGAACAACTGTAACAAACAAATTTCCCACCGGGGATCAATGAAGTATTTCTGATTCTGATTCTGATGTCTATATAACGGCACCATACCTAATACTAAATGTATGACAGTCATGGTTTTTGTATTCATTTGAGGGCCAGGATCATTTATAGCCTGTTAAACAGTTATTAACAACATTTTACACAAATTATACAACTATTTGTCAGATAAAATGGATATTCCTGACACAAATACCAGCGTGTACATGTAAATAAATATATATATATTATTATGCCAGATTTTTATGGGGTGACATTTGGTACAACACAGCAAATGGCAACATTTATTTTCATTTTTGCACATAATATATAAACTTAATTAGTTTTTAAAGAGGCCAATTTGTCATCATTTTTAATGAAAGTTGAATTAGAAGTTTTAAAATGACTTTTACCAGGTTTTTTTATAGGATAAGTAAAGGTAACCTAACATAAAATAATAGATAGACAGCACCACAGGAAAGGCAGACAGGATATAGATCAGTAGAAATATATATATATATATATATATATATATGTGTGTGTGTGTGTGTGTATACAGATAA